AGTTGACATGCATTCAGCTTGATTAAAGTTGGCTCTACTATGCATAATCACATCGATAGTTCTATTACAACCAATTAATGTTTGAGATATATATAAACATGATATCACATGAGTGCGAGAACTACGAATTTATTGAATTTATAGAGGTGCAATAAAGTAATCATAAATGTATAGCATCGATTATCATCGATCGCTGGGCCATTCATTGAACTCTCTTCGATTATATCCATTAAAATGTTGTCACTGTGTTACTTTTACCGTTAGAGCATACTCAACTATCTCATATTTGGGTTGATAGTAACTCACACTCTAAATATAAATATTTAGTTTTTATACTAGTTCTACTTTATTCATATTTGTTTATAAATGTTTTACTTTTGAATATGTTCTTGGATGAGAAGTTCTATCAGTTCTTTATTTCGCTATGGTTTTCTGCTTTTGTCAGTGTCAAATTATACTTTCTAAAGTCGTTTCGATGTCGTAAATGTGTTTGTAAATGTATGTAGTAACACTATAGAACTACATTAGTGTATTGATATTATATGAATACTGACTAGTTATATTGCTCGCTTTCTCTATTTCTTCCTCTCTTTTAACATATTTCATTCTATGTATGGGGCTAACTGCTCACATTACTGCAGTATTCGATTTTAAATTCAAGCGTCGACCCTCGCAAAAAGTGCTTTTAACCAAACTGCCCTCCACAGACAGTTTGAGCAACAGCCCAGCGCCATCATCGCCAGGTGAAGTTTTTTCCACAAATTTAGCACAGTTCACTGATCTATCATCAAATCAATTCTACAAGCTATTTCACTAATCATTGCACCCACTAACAAAATATCTCATTCATCAATCTATAGTTCTTTTCACTATTACTCCTATTTGAGATCATTTCAATTAAACTACAAAGTTTAAATTTATCAATCATCTTTCGAATGATCATTCTAGCACGCATTCCATTGGTCGTTATATTCCATTGTTCATTTCATTCAATCAATTCACCTATAATTTTACAATCATGTCGCCGATCATTTCATTGATAATTCCTCTGATCATTTATAGATAATTTCACTGAGCTCATACCGCAATGATTTCATCGATCTTTTCATTGATTATTCCACATCTCATTCTACATTTGTTTGGTATTACGAACATTTCACTGAGTCTAAATTAAGATTATTCCACTGATCGTTCCATTGATCATTCCATGTCTCATACTACATACAAAGCTATTCCCTGATTATTCCAGCAGTAATTTTATTGATCATAAAACGAATATTCACGGATTCCACGGACCATCTGTGGCACATAGATTTTGCTTTTGCTTCAGCTTTTGCTTTCGCTAATCGAGATCATCATCGCGTTCGGCCTCCATGCAGTTGGCCAACGAACGCATTTGAATGCAATTCGCGAACATTTAGTTAAGTACTCACTTAGCCATGACCGCCGCGTCAAGCGTTGCCATATCTGTGACGCATTTGGCTGCCATTTGTATGATTTTGCTTTCGTTCCCATCTATTGTGAGCCGCAGCGCACGGTGCATTATCAAAAGCTTTTCAGTTATTATTGACGAGTATTGTATTGTATACATGTTTTGCAGTTGTGTTTGTTATATTATGACTTGAAATTGAAGGCAGCGAGCACCGCACCGCCCCCAGCTTTGCTGGATAAAAGATTGCCCACGTCTAGCTGTGGCAGTGCCGCTGCTGACTGTCAACTTGACATATCATATCTTATCTTCGGTATTTGTAGTTGTATTTAGTTGGTATAGAACTTAAAAGTGTTCGCACTCTCGATAAGCCCTAATTAATGAGCAAAAACATAGCGTTGGCATTTTATTGAAATAGCCCGCTCGTACAACATTTGATTGCAAAACTTAACGATAACATTTTGTGGTCCGATAAGCGACTTTTGCTTTCATTGCCTTTTTTTTTATATTTTTGATACTCTCTTCGAACAGTCTGAATCATTGAGCTGTCAACAACACTGAAATATGACAAATGAGTTTTGCGAACATTCGACTGACTTACTAATTGCTGCTATCTACAAATATATAATAATAAAATAATACAAATAAAATAATACAGCTAACGCCAAATTTGCAGTCCGAAGTTTCGATTTCAAAGCACATTTGATGAATTTGTTTATTGTTTTATTTGCAATTTAGCAAACATATGAAACGAATGATGACATAGTTTAGCACATTTGTTCAACGCCTGATTCAACAATTTGAAGATATTTCACAGATGGGAAGCAGCTTCACTTAATATATTTCTTATAAGCTATTAATGCACTTATATCGTTAGGATCTACAATAAACTATTTAATTTTGATGATAATGGAATCTAGGTTTTTTTTATATATATTTTTTTTTTAAATCATATTATTTTACTAGTTTTTCTTTTTTAATATTGACTTATTTTTGATTGTTAAAAAAAACAGACGGCTTTAAAAAAATGAAATGGCATAACTAGAAATACGTTTTGCTAGTTTCTAGGAAAACTGTGAAATATAACTAATTTTGGTTCATGGAAAATTATTGTATTTGCTTTTCGGCTCAAAGCGTACAGAGTATTTAATTTCCGGGTGCCACATAATATTCACTAAAAATTTTACTCGTTTCGGTTTGCTGTGTTGCATGGGCACCTGAAAAAAAAAAAAAACAAAATCAGCTCTGGCTCATGGCAAAACATGTGTATTATTTTCCGGGATGGACTCAAAACTCGGTTTGTGTCATATAGATATATTTCGTCATATATAATAGTAGAATACTTAAATATATATTATAGATTATATTAAGTAATGAGGCCCTGTAAAATAATGAAATAGAAATAAATAATTAGCGTACTTTTCAGTTTGTAAATTTGATTATCCATAAAAAGTTTGTAGGCAATTTCATTTTCATTTCCATTCGTTCATTAGCGAACGACTACTGTATTTGCATTTGTACATTGAGAAAGATCATGGCAGCGAACAGATGTAGTTTAAAGTTTGTGTGCACTCAGAAATATTGAACTGTTTGATCTGAAGACTATAAATATTTTAAGGCACACTTAAGTGGTAAGCCTTAGGTAATACGGCGTCTGGGATCACGTCTCATGAGCTCATTGTAAACACTTGTGTGTAGCTCATACACACACAAACAGACACACACACGCAGAGGCAGCATGTACGTGTGTGTGTGTACATATGCACATAAGTAACTTAGTAGCTAATAAGCTCATCGATAACGCCCCTAATGTTTGGCACATGGAGAGTGACAATGAACAACCGAGAGAGACGGAGAGGGAGAGGGAGAGAGAGAGAGAGAGCAGCAGTCAGTGTGACTAGGCTAGATGGCAGCGACGCGTCGACGCTGACGCAGATGCCGACTGCGCACTGATATCATATCTGCGAGTTGTCTAAATTAACACACGAGTACTTAATATCAGGCGTTCGCCGCAGCTCGCCAGAGACGCGCCTCTCAACTGCTTTTCGAAATATTCAAAATATTTACATATAAAAAAAAAAAAAAAACAAATTGTTTTGATTTTTGTTTTGTTTTTTTATTTTATCTATTTCTATTTTGTTTTTGGCGAGCATGCAATCGTTAGCCACAACAACAACAACAACAACATCAAGAGTAACAGCAATCACTACATACAGCTAATGGCTCATTATTATATGGCGGGCGGTGTATTGGGTATATGGCGGCAGCGACGCCAACGCCAGCGTCAGCGGCCGTGTCAGTCGCGTCATCGCCGCTGGCCCAGCGGCAGCTGCTCGTCGCTGCTCTTTGGGCATATTCAGTTGTCGTTGCGGCTCCGGCTCCGTAGTTAGCTGCGTTTTGTTTTCGTTCGCTGCGCATGCCAACATATACATATACATATATATATATATATATCTCAATCGGCGAGTCTGACTGGGCATCCCAACACGCATTCGCGCGACATCTCAATACAAACAATTCGTTGACGGTTACGGTTGCGGATACGTGTTATTTCTGCTTCCCTCTCCGATTCCAATTCTGAGTATCGTATAGCGTACACGCCATGTAGTACACGCGTACGTTCAGCAAATGCTAAAGCACCAATTAACGTAGCTCGCAGCCCGCAGTTCGCCACTCGCAGCCTCTACGCACATTCTTCAGCTGGCTGACCAGTGTGGAGCAGCGAGCAGTGGAATACCAAATGAATCTACTACAAAGCAAGTGCCAGTCGCAAAGCCTCCACGCGTCTTCCGCATAGTCCGTTCAATTATGAGCTGAAATCTGTTTGATTTTTATTTTGTATTACGTGCGGCACAGCAGACGCGACATAAACTAAAAAAACCAGTCCATGCTTGAAAATTAAATGTGTAAAAAATAAAGAGAAATTAAAAAGAGTTAAAAATAATAATTTAATGAAAGCGTGCGCAATTATGATTAAAGTGCAAGTGCGAGTCGCTTAACCAGACAAACTGAGCCTGAGAGATCTCAGAGAGAGTGAAAGATACAGAGGGAGAGTGAGAATGCGGGTCTGAGCATCCCAGCGAAAATTCTCACCCGCCCATTTTCATATGTACTACTTGTTGTGTCTGTTTGTCTTGCGAAATAAATTAAAACATATTCGAAAAATAAATAAAACAGAGCGCGCCGCGTTTGCTGCTGCTGCCGTGCGATCTACCTTGAGACGATGTTGATTTGTTGTTATGTACTTTATACATCTCTCTCTCACACACACACACATACAAATTCATGAGCATATATGTATGTGTAGACATAAGCATACACAATACACAAATAGGCTGTGAACATCTTTCCAAATTGCTTTTAGATCTTAGCCGCTGCTAACCCAATTCAATTCGGGCCATAAATAATTAGAGAATCCGCCAGCACAGCGTTTATAAATTCGTTCAATTCAATCTCTTATTGCAGGAATCGCCAATTGGGCCGCAGATAATCGCGATGGCAATTCGGCAGACAAGGTAAGTATTTCTCTCCACCTCCTCCAAAAAAAAAAAAAAAAAAAAAACAAAACAAAAACAAAAACCAAAAATGCGCTTTAATATTTTTAAATATATAACAACAAAAATTAAAGACCAATCAGAAATGTTGAAACTGGGTCATGATTTCTGTCCGCATGTAATAATTGTCTGAGGCGCGCTATCCGATAAGAGCTCTGTGATAAGGGCTGACTAATGCAGCTCTAATCGATGTGCGGCTCATGCTGACGCCAAAAGCACAGATTGTATATCTATAGATACAAGCGGAGCACGTGCAAAGTTGATAAGGCATAAACTAATACTTATACGATTTCCCTGCGTACTGATGCCAAAAAGGGGCTTAGTCAATTTTTTGTTACATGCAACTATATATAATATGGAAATATTATATGTATGTATATATCAATGTGTGCATATGTAAATACCCATAGCTAAATAACGAATAACTAATATTTGTAATACTCGCTAAAGCTGATTGTATTTTTCCTGATATCTTCTGCGAACTCCAATCACATTATTCCGGTTTCAATTTGCGGTTTCGACTGGAAATACGGGCGATTTGCCCGGGGCTGAAACAGAATTGCTTTATGTTTATAACGTTTCGTTGTTTGGTTTGGCATTCGAATGAATTTTAATATTTACAAATTATTTCATCTAAATTCTCTGTGTCTCGCTCTCTCTCTTTCTGTCTCACTCTCTCTATTTAAATTTGGAATTTCGAAATATTTTAATAGCTTACTGCGGTAATTGTGAACCAAATTAGTTTCAATTCGTTAAGCTAATGTACAGGGTATCTTCCAGTGAAGCTGTACAGATAGCTGCTGAATTTTACTTTTTGGCTTTATTTCTCTCATTTTTTTCGTGTGTGAAAATTTAGTTTTAAGCGCTAATTAGATTAACATTTGCTTTATGAATTAGTTGGAAAATCCGTGTGTAGCCATGTTGTAGAGGAAGTTGGTCGTCAGGTGCGAGCACACACATCCTCGAGGCAAAGCAGTGATTGCGAATGTTTTTGAAATTTTTGAATGTATGCCGAAACTGTCGACAGGTGCAGACAAGTGGAGTCAAATGCGCTCTTGCTTGATTATATAACGCTCTAATTAAGTAACAAACCACCTGACCGCCCACCTAATCATCCCTTGTTTTCACAGTCTGCTGCAGATGCGGCCAAGCTCAATCGCAAGCAGTCGTACAAGGCCCAGCGCAAGAACTATCGGCGTGAGAAGAAGCGCGTGGCCAGTGAGTTGATGAATTCTCTGCAGGATCCGGCGGTCATAGTGCTGGCTGATTGGCTAAAGGTGAGTGTTAATTAGTTTAGCAGACGCTCAGTGAATCTCTTGATACAATATCTCCTTTATTTTTCCTTCACAGGTGCGCGGCACACTAAAGTCCTGGACGAAGCTGTGGTGCGTGCTGAAGCCTGGCCTGTTGCTCATCTACAAGAGCCAAAAGACAAAAAGCAGCCACTGGGTGGGCACAGTCATGCTGACCTCGTGTCAGGTGATTGAGCGGCCCAGCAAGAAGGACGGCTTCTGTTTCAAGCTCTTTCATCCGTTGGACCAGCCCATTTGGGCGCCACGCGGACCAGATAAGGAGACCATAGGTAATTCTCTATACAGCTCGCCTGTGGCAACTGCTCATCTCCTGTTTTTTTTGCAGGCGCTGTGGTTCAGCCACTGCCCACAGCCTACTTGATCTTTCGAGCGCCGAGCCAGGCTGCTGGCAAGTGCTGGATGGATGCACTGGAGCTGTCGTTGCGCTGCTCAGCTTTATTGCTGCGGTCCAACAGCACCAATACGCCGTCCAGCAACTACGCCGAAGAGCCGTTGCCCGTCTCGGACGAGACTCAGTGGTCGGAAGCCGACTATGAGAAGCATTTCAACGATCACGGTAAGTGGATGCAGCACTGGCTGGCGCCGCCGGCCGAGCAGGAGAACTCGCGCCCATCGTCGCGCGCTCAGACACCGCAGCTACTGCAGCAGCTGTACAGCAGCGCTGTTAGCAACTGGGAGCGCACCAAGCGCCTGCCACGTTTCGCCCAGATGCGACGCGCTAGCGATGTCTCTAATGCCTCTGAAATGAATCCTGGCCGACGCATAGGCAGGAATATGTCGCCCACCAGCAAATCGCTGTCGATGGGCGCCGCACTTTGCGGAAGCAGTTCCAGTGACGATGAGGAGGACTACGCCAGCGGCAGTGTGTGTCCTAGGGGAGCTGGCTCCAGGCCAGTCAGTGCACCACCCGATTGCCTGCTGCTGCCGCGCTTCCAAGTCAACGTTCAGGGTGAAGGCTTCCAGCCAGATTCACTTTTATATATCTCTCTGTCGTAGTTGCTGTCATTGTTATTGCTAGAAAGTTCGAGCAGTTGGTTGTGCTGTGATGCTTCCGACACGAAGTAGTCTGGGCGTTATTTGTTCAAAATTTATGTAATTGCCATGTGAAGCTAGTCGTTAGTTTCGCATCTTAGCCACTCATCTACCCATAAAATAGCCGATAAATTTACATTAGTTAATGGAATAGGTCATCATTGGGGCCATTGCCATTGCAGTTGCTTCAGCTATAGAGAGTTCCTCTAGACAGTGACGTACACAAGTTTTGAGGGTTTCTTCAACTCTTTACAGATCTGGACGCTGACAGTCAAAATGAAGCGCCCAATGCGGCAATGTCGGGACTGGAGAGCGACTCAGAGTCAGAACCGGCACATGAAGATGACGTGGCTGAACAAATACCATGCGAGGAGACTACCTATGTGCCATTTCAAGAGGAGGAGTTCGGTGAGGTAAGTGGTGCAACTCATTTTGTGGTCGATCAAATGGTTTCCATTAATATTTGATTACGGTCTTTAGCAAGGAGAGCAAGTGGAGGAGTTGGCCGAGGAAAATAAGAGCCTCATCTGGTGTATCGTGAAGCAGGTGCGACCCGGCATGGATCTAAGCAAGGTGGTGTTGCCCACGTTTATTCTTGAGCCGCGCTCGTTTCTGGACAAGCTGTCTGATTCCTATTATCATGCGGATTTGCTCTCTAGGTATGCGTTCCTACTCATGGTATTTTAATTCGATTCTCACAATTTATCAATTGCTGTTTGGCAGGGCTGTTCATGAAGATGACGCCTACACACGCATGAAATTCGTCGTACAATGGTACCTGTCCGGGTTCTACAAGAAGCCCAAAGGCCTCAAGAAGCCATATAATCCCATATTGGGCGAAACGTTTCGTTGCTACTGGCAACACCCCAACGGCAGTCGTACCTTTTACATTGCCGAACAGGTTTCGCACCATCCGCCGGTATCGGCATTTTATGTAACGAATCGCGAGGATGGCTTCAGTATCTCCTGCTCCATCTTGGCCAAATCGAAGTTCTATGGCAATAGCACGTCGGCCGTACTAGAGGGTATGGCCACGATGACGCTACTGCCACGTGGCGAAATTTATACAGCAACCACGCCCTATGCCCACTGCAAGGGTATACTCATGGGTACATTGTCCATGGAGCTCGGTGGCAAGATAAACATCGAATGCGAGAACACCGGTTACAAGACGGAGCTCGAATTCAAGCTGAAACCATTCCTTGGCGGGTCAGACACCATAAACGTAGTCGTAGGCAAAATTAAATTGGGTAAAGAAACTTTGGCTACTATTAACGGTCACTGGGACAAGGAGCTACGCCTCAAGGATCTAAAAACCGGAGAGGAAAGCGTACTGTTGAAGGTCGATGCAGAAATGCGCTCGAAGCGGCTAATACGGCACGTGGTGCCATTGGAGAAACAATTACCAACAGAGTCGCAGCGTCTTTGGAGTCTTGTTTCAGATGCCATAGCACGGGAGGATCAAGTGGCTGCTACTGAGCAGAAAACGGTGCTGGAGGAAAACCAACGAGCGGCGGCCAAGTCACGTTTACAGAACGACCAACCACATGTTCCGGCCCTCTTTGAGCTGAACGCTTACGGCGAATGGATATACAAGTACGCGGATTTGCGGCCATGGGACGTTCGTAACGATTTACGCCAATACGAATGTGATTATAAGGTGCTTACCGAGACGCGGAACAAAACGGTGCCGATCGTGCTTGGCACCGAACTATTGCGTTCCAATATAGACCCTGGCGTCCACTCCACAAGACGACTTCCCTCAGACACCACAAAGGTGTCCAAAACTAAAAACAAGCCCGTGGATTCCGACTCAAGTCCATCGCCGCATGGTGCTGTGAAGCGTGGTTCAAATACTTCAGCCATTAGACAGTGAGTATCCGATCCATTGAAGCAATCAAAAAAAATTAATATTTTATTCCAATATATCTCAGACTCGCCTTGGCCATTGACCAGATGAACGCAACGTTGGCCAACCATTCAAAGCAACTAAACGACATCACAAACCGGCTGGAACGAATCCAGTTTGCGCCGAACTTGAGGAATGGCAGTATCAATTCAAATGACTTAATTGGGGGCGGCGTCTCCATATCGACGGTGGTCAAGTCTCTATTATATGCTTTAATTGGGCTTACATTCAGCGTGATTCTGCGCTGGTTCTTTAAATAGTTATTTTGGTTAAATTTTCTATATATAAGTGCAACATTTGAGCTATGGTATATACAAATATAGTCTATTTATACACGCCCAATATTATTCTAAAGCTATATAGCCATGCCTCTTCTATTGTATATTCTGTCCCACTCAAAGAAACAGATTCACTGTTCAAATGAGCGTCGTGTAAAGTCAATCAAGAATTATGAATTAAGCTAATTGGTATGTTAGTCCCAATAAATGTCTATAATGTAATATTAGCTACTGCGGCCACAGAAATGCTGAAAACTATTCATCAGCTTAGAGGCCCGATCAGGTACGTTTAGGCTTATTCGTTTTACAAAGGATACGTATATCTACAATAAAAACTAGCACCAAAATTTCGTAACAATTCCATTTCACGGACACTACAATGCATTCAATTCCTGTTGTTTTCAAACACAAATGCATAAATATACTAGTACTCATAAAATATATATGCATATATATTCATATGAGATCATTTGGCAGAGCTGCTCGAGAGGCTTTCTCATGAACAAGAACAACGTGCAACACTCATAAACATTAAGAAAGTTTAATGCTAAAGTGATTATAAACTTAGTGTACTAAATACACAAAATACACGTTCTTGCATAACATCCACACACAAATTGTACTACCTGAAAACACATTTGAATCGAAATAAACATTTAACACATCTTTTCCTTTCACTTGGACAAACTGTTTCCAATGAAATGTCGCCCCTGAGGGTGAGTGAATGAAATTATGATTTAGGGGATATTAATGCAGTCATCGAATGAAAGGGAACACGAAATTTAATTGAGGCCAATTAAGGGATGTTCCTTGATGATGATATTTGAGTAGCTCAATGTGAGAGTAAGATTTCTTGAGGTCATAGTTGGCAAAGTATGAGACTGTAATTTTGTTTTGCATTTATTCGTTTTATTGTTGTTGCTTTTTGCTTACAATTACAAATAGTTTATATATATTTATATATATACTATATATTTTCTACAACATTTACGGTCATTCTCATTTTCAATTTAGCTGTTTTACAATTTTATTTCACTTAATATAGGACCTCTTGTCTCTCCGTTTACTACGTTTTGTTCTATAAGCAATCCATTTTTTAGGGGGATTTATTAACGCGATTGCGACTATACGATATTTTGATGTTTTTCATCGTTCCGGTTTAGTCATGTGAGTAAAAGATGCTGCTAAATATGCGCTAAGAGTACACTTATTTCAATAGAATTTTTTCGTTATGATTTCTTTTCTTTTCTTTTCTGATTACGCCTTATATTTAGCGGGATGGCGTATGGGATGGGTATTACACAGTATAGTAGCAATAACTAGATTTTTCATCATTATATATATATATATTAGGTTCAGCTTAACACTTAACACGACGAGAAGCTATAAATCAATGTTTCTCCTTCGGCACTGAAACTGAAAGGGTGTATGGAGCTCGGTGTGTGGGAGGGAGGGTAGGTGACAACAGTTATGAAGCTAATAAGTAGGATTAGATTAGAGTTTAGTTTTGTTTAGGTTTAAACACCCTGTATTATGTGTGTGTATGTATGCATGGGTTCTTATTGGTTATGTGTCCATACACACACAGTTGTATGTGCATGTGTATATATGCATGTACAAATATGTGTGTACGAGTACGTCTAGACTTAACTTACAGTTGGACATGCATGTGGATCAGCTCTACTATAGTTTACATACAATTGCGCTCTGCACAGCAGGTAAATAACACTTTTCGAGTATATATTCAAATATATATATATAAGCATACATATGTGTATATATATATATATAGAAACATATATATATATATATATATATAGCATATACATTTATGTATATATATATATTATGCATATATGTTTATGTATTATGCATGTTTATATGTATTTTATGTATGTATGTACTTTATGTACTTATGCATGTATCCGATCGGTATCTGTATCTAGTATAACTGTATGTGCTTATGCATATTGCACGATTCCTCAATGGCTGCTTGGCTGACTGGCTGACAGACATGCGGGCGGGCGGGCGTTCGGTCGAGCGAGCTGGCTCGGGCTTGGGGACTCTGGCTGGGTGCTAGCCTAGCACGTGTGGACCCGCAAATGGTTTTGTAGTGTGCTCTTTTGCCGGAACTGCTTGGGACAGTAGGAACAGTTGTAGGGCTTCTCTCCGGTGTGGATCTTCATGTGGTTATTGAGCGTGGCCACTTGCCGGAAGCTAACCTCACAGATCTTGCACTTGTACGGCTTCTCGCCCGTGTGCGTTTTGATGTGGTTGACCAGAGTGCTCTGCTGCGAGAAGAACCGCCGGCAGACGCTACAGCCAAACGGACGATCCGGATTGTCACCCTTCAGCATATTGATGTTGCCCACATTTAGTCGAACGCCCTGCGCATTCTGATAGTGCTCGACTTTGGTGTTGGCCGCCGCCGCCGCTGCTACATTGCTGGCCACCACAGAGCTCACCGTAGTGCTGCCATCGAGGAAGTGTAGCAGCGGATGATGGTCCAGTTGAAGGATGTTGGGCGTTGTGCTGTGCAGGTTGTTGGGTAGCAAGCCGCTCGTTAGCTGCTGCGTGCCGGGAACAAGGGGCGCTGGCATGGTTGAGTGATCCACTAATAGTCCATAGCATAGATGTATTGATCGTTGCATAGATGGGGTTGGTTGATTGATAGACAGTTCGATTAACCGTTCAGTTCAGTTCAGTTGGTTGTTGGTTGTTGATCGTTGTTGTTGTTGTTGGGGTGTTGATTGGTTGTTGATTGGTTTGCATGCGTACAAAATTTAAATAAAAGCTTCGTTAGGGAAGTGCGTTAATGATCAATGCACACAGTGATAACAGAAAGCGGCTCAGTTGTAGGGCGAACACACAAGCGGCTCACCTGTGGCTGTGACTGTGGCTGGCTGGCTGGTTAGATGTGTGTGCGTCTTCATGTGGTTGGTGAGCGTGCTCTGCTGCCGGAACTGCATGTGGCAATAGGAACACGTGTATGGCTTGTCGCCGGTGTGTATCTTTTTGTGATTGGCCAATGTCGCTAGCTGGCTGAAGGACTTGTCGCAAGTCTCACACTTGTACGGCTTAGGATCGATGTGCGTCCGCTCGTGATTGTGCAGCGTGCTCAGCTGCGGGAAACGTCGCTTGCACACACTACACTGATACGGTTTCACCAGCTCCTCCGCCTGTGGCGAACTGTAGGTGCCCGAATATAGAGTCTTTGAGATTTGTACACGCTGCTGCTGATGCTGCTGCTGGTAGGCGTTGTGCATCTGATTCGACTGCGATTTACGGCTGTGCTTGCCGGAAGAGGACGGCGGCTGATAGTTGAGTAGCGACGTCGGCGTGCTTGACTCAGCCGCTGCAATTGCATGAGTAGGTGTGTGTGTGTGTGTGTTTGGATTAAAATCAAGAATTGAAGTTATGGATACTGAATGCTATATCTTATAATATATATATATATGTCTTTATATATATAGATACACATATCAATTCGATTCGCTTGTGCCGCACTTACCCTTATGCGTCTTAATGTGATTTATGAGCGTGCTCTGCTGGCGAAAGTCCTTGGCGCAAATATTGCACGTGAATGGTTTTTCACCAGTGTGGATCTTCACATGATTGGTCAGCGTCGAGATTTGGCGGAAGGCCTTGTCGCAGTGCTTGCACTTGTAGGGACGTTCGTCTGTGTGTATTTTCATATGATTGCGTAACGTGGTCAACTGCCGGAACTTGTTTTTGCACACGTGGCACTGCTTCTTCTTGCGCGGATCGTCCACCACAGACTCATCCTCGCTAATGACGCTCTGCACCTCCTGTTTCATGGGCGATATGGGCGTATGATTGCCACCGCTGTTCGTTGTGGTCGTCGAGATGTCGAGCAGGTGCACAAGCGGATGCTGTGGATGAAGCATGGCTTGATGGGTGGGATGCTGTATGGCCTGCACGGCAGTCAATTGATGCAAAGCAAACGGGCTCTGCTGCAGGCTCGCAATAGTCGTTGGCTGCTGTAAGCTATTGGGGCCGATGCCTCCGCCACCGGAGCCGCCGCCACCACCGCTGCCGCCTCCACCTCCTCCGCCACCGCCACCACCACCACCACCACCACCTCCGCCGCCACCGCCAACGCTATGCGTGGCAAGCTGTGCTGGCGCATAGTGCTGATAGTTGGCCATAGCAGCTGTCGCGGCCGTCGCATGATTCAAATGCATTTTACTTGCTTTCGTTAATTAGGTTGCGCCCTTTGAGGTATTCGAGAAAATCGTCTGCGCGAGCGTCAGCTTTCTTATATTATTGTCTGCTCATGAAGGTAACGTTATACAATTAAGTCGAAAAGTCGCAGCCATTTGCACAAGCACCCCGTCGGTTTGTTATTTTAGATGTCTGCTCGTTTCGGTCGCGGCTGCTGCTTTGCCAACGGCCACACGTTGCGTTCCACGTATGCGCTGTGGCGCTCAATATGGTGTACACTTTGCGCGGCACAACATTCCACACACTTTGCAACGTTTTTGCAATTGCTTGTGGCGCTTTTTGTGTGATTTGTGCAAATTTTCTCAGGCCACGCTCTTTTTTATCCTTATCAAAACAAAAATGACTGGCGTGGTTTTCCAGGGCTGCCGAACGTTCAGAGCTGCATCGACAAGATTCGGTGCACGTTCGACTACCTCCTATCGATTGCCAAAAATCAAATGCAACTTCTCATGAGGGTTGCTCACTCAAATCATCGTTACCTCAAAGCAACAAAGGTATCGATAGTATATATCGACTGCATTTCGATACATCGCACACTTATATTTATCATATTAATCAATTTTTTTTTTAAATAATTACAGGTAATAATAATATTTGTATTTTGCTTCTTTTTTTTTTTGTAAAACAACGACTAAGCTTATGCAGATTCAAAATGTTGTAATCGTTTTGTATCATGTATATAAATTGAAGTAAAATGCTACTTAAAACAACAAGAAAAAATTTACGATTAATCGTAACTACGTTAAATAAGTGGACATTAGTGTTTTGCCATGTTAGTTGCAAGGCCAGCCAATAATTCTGAAATATGATAATATTTATGAATACTAAACAAAATACGTTAAACAAGATTTACTTACAATGCGTTCTATGAGCTCACAATTTACATAGGGATAACGCAGTATAACGATTGTCTTTTCATTAATTGTTTTTACGAGATCTGCAACGCTAGCAAAATTATATAGTTCAATTCCTTCAATAATAGTCAGAGATACTTGAAAAAAGTGAGTGTGACGGGTTTGTGTATCAGTGGTCTTCCAAAAAAAGAACTTGAGCAATTGTATAGACATTAAAATTAAAATGACTAACAAGAAATACAAGGAATGAAAACAATGGGTGCTTAAAAATTTCGCAAAACTCATTTATCATTCGAATAAGTTTATAATACGATTGGTGACATTTTAACATTTTCCGAGTTTTTTTCATTTCTTGGAATTGATTCCTGAAGTAAGTATTCTAAGTTTGAAGTTTCAAGAGGATCAGACACATTTGAAAGATTATAACAAAGACTATGGAATGAAATCCATATCGCAAATCCCTTCAAACAATAAAACATATTCATGCGCCTCTTATGAAGAAGTATGAATATCAAAACTAATCGAGGCAAGAAGAAGAGTAATCTTATCCATAAAATTTGTTTGAGATATGCTTGCTGAGCTGTTATGACGGAAGAGTTGAATTCGAATACAGACTCCTTTAATTTGATCAGGTAATTTTTCATCTGAATTATCCTTTTTTGTTGGCGCTGTGCACAGATTATACAGCTTAAGATCGACATCATTCGAGCATAGGGATATATGCTGATTAAGAAGGTCATCAACTTATATTGGCTCAGATCCAAGGGCAAGTTAATCCAATTTGCTTTTAATGTAAATGATGTCGTTGCTAATATGAAGAGAATCGATCCACATCGCGACTTAATTATGCGACCCGTTCGCGTATCGTACCGGAATTCTGCAACTCCACAGAATACCAAAAAATATGTAACCCCTGTGTAAACGTAATGCTCTTCCCAGAACATTTTCACCGGAACTGATGGACGCCAAGGCGCATGAAACGAATTCAACTAAATCGATTAGCTAAACGGACTTAAAAGTCTTGAAAAGGGTGTGAGATCTGTAAACAGAAAATGACAGCCTGATATATCTAGCTGACAGTTGAGGAACTATACTATATCAGAATGCAGTGGATGAACAGTAAGAAAATGTACGTCTTTATTAAATTATTTTTATTAAATTATCGTTGATTGCTTGGGAGGTAAGTTAAGATGTGGCGTATATTGTGTTTTGTTATGTAATGTATATAATAAAAGTATCGTAAAATATTTGAATAATATTCGATATTCACAACTATCCATTAAACGTGTATTCACAAAAATTCATAGTCACTTTGTATTATGTATATTATGTGAAGTACGATGCCCGTTACAACTGCAAAGAACAAATTTAGGTCGATGTGTAGAACCCCAAAGATGTTTATCGACTTATTTTGCCATTTTAGCTGCAGAGCTAGCCAGTCATTCTATAGCAGAAGAAGGATATCGTTAATATTATAAGATTAAATAAGTATAAATGGAGTACATACACTTCGTTCTATTACATCCGAATCATAGGGAGAGTAGCGTAAAATTAGAAATGTTTCATCATGAAGTCGGCTAGCCGTATGAGCTATGCTAGCCAGAATGTAGAGCTCAAATAAATTACTGATATTCATAAACAATGAAATCCATTCATTGATGGAGCTATTCAAAGTCAAAGGATTTCCAAGCATCATCCGACAAAATGAGTATCCACTTATACAGGCGTTGCAAATCAGATTAAGCAAATAACAAGACAATTGATATTTAAAAATGTCGCAGAGCTCATTAAGCATATTAAGTAGTTTATAGTACTTTCGATGAGCTTCAAAAACTTTCGGCGCTTTCCTGGACATTGCCATTGGATCAACAAATAACTGCTCTAGGTAGATTTGCAGCGCCATGAAAGAGTAGCAGATCTGCCAGATGATATTAAGTAACAGAAAATACGCGCCACGCAGTATGTTTACTGCTCCTTGAATGGCTAGAGTAAATAGAATGTCCGAATTTGAAGTAAACATCCATAAGATTAATATAACTGTCTGTTGCACAAATACAAATATTTTTATCCAGTAAAACTTTTGAAGTTGCGGTTTCTTGGAATGATTGAAGCAGCTATTGGATACAGTTATGAACTCGTCCATCCTTAGTAGATCCCTAACCATCTCGAATATCCTTTGCTGTCCCATTTGCACACAGAAAATACTGCTCCCAAGTGATAGCAGCATTACACCAGGTCTTCCCCATAAATAGAGAGTCATTAGCTTCGATCGCGTAGAAAGTGTGTCCACATTATAGCAAGCTAGAAATACTTTTACACCGAAATGGCACAATAGATATAAAGAAATTATTCGCGAATAAATACGCAGCAATCGCGACTTTCTAATATTGTCCGTCCGTATATCAAAATAGAATTCAGAGACTCCAGAAAACGCTACTATATAGGATATCCAGGCGTATACGTAATGCTTGCGCGAGGTCATTTTTGCGACTATTTGAAAGCCTTAAGTGAATGCTGTTGAGCGCGTTTAATCAATTAATGCTCAAATTGTGTTATGGCCGAATGAAAAGTGAAAAATAAATAGGAAGTGACAGCTAGCGTCATATAAGTGATATCTGAAATCTCTAAAATATCATTACTTAAGTCAAGTTATTAATGACAACAGTTCTTTATTTTTCTCTTTCTCTCTCTCTCTCTCTCTCTCTCCCTTTCTCTGTTTCTCTCTAACTAAATTTGATAATCCATTAGCTTATAATTATGAGTATCAAGTATTTATTTCAGCATTTCATTAAAGTAAGCTCAGGTTTACAAATAATTATAGTCGCTCTGTATTATGTATATGATATTAAGTGCAATATTAGTCACGACCAGATATACCAAACGGGGATTGATGTTCAGCACGCCGAAGAGGTTGATATTCTTATTTTGCCAGGTTATCTGCAGGGCTAGCCAGTCATTCTATAAAAGGGAGATAAATATAGCTTAATATAAAAATGTGCTACATCAAAGTAAATGACATACGCCCCGTTCTAATACAGCCGAGTCAAAGTTGGAGGAGCGTAAAATCTGAAATGTTTCATCATGGAGCTCAGTAGCCATGTTAACGATGCTAGCCAGAACCAAGAGCTCAAATATTCGATTCATGTTTTGACACGTCAATAGCCATTCAGTCGCGGGACTATATATTTGCAAGGGTTTGCCAACCAACTGTCGACAAAATAAATATCCACAGAGACAAGCACTGCAGAACGTGTAGAGCAAATAAAAAGCTAGCGGATACTTAAATATCTCGCTGAATTCGTTTATCATTCGCATTAGTCTGTAGTACATTCGGTGGACTTCCAAAACTTTATGCTCCTTCCGTGCTATGGTCTCTCTATCAGATAACAACTGGCTGAGACATGATTGCAGATTCATGAAGGTATAGCAGATCAGCCAGATGATGTGAAACGACAGATAGTACAGCCCGTTCCTTATAAGCTTTGATTCGATGATGCTACAATAAACTATTAACTCTTCACCAACGATGACCGGCTGTAGCAGGAGTAGGATGGTGTGTGCGACAAGTATCAAGAATCTAATCAAGAATAGGCTCAGCAGGCGTGGCTGATCTGGGGGGGTGGCACAACAGCTACATGTGGCTATCAGCTCATCCATCTTTAGCAGATCTTTGAGCATCTCTAAGAGCCTTTTCTGCCACACTCGCGCACATAAAATACAGCTCAGCAATGCCATCAATGTGTTGCATGGAGAGGCACAAACTAAGAAAGCCATTAATTTCGATTTCGTAGTATATGCTGGAAATTTCTTCCCATGCGCAAGCAACACCGAAAAGAAAGAGCAAAAAATAATCGCGCACAGCAATCGGCAATAAATGCGCAGCAGACGCGATTTTATTAGTCCCCTGCTGCGCATGTCAAAGTAGAACTCCGCGATACCGCAAAGGGCCAGGAAATATGTTATCCAAGCGTATACGAACTGTTTGCCCGAGGACATTGCGGCGACTACTTGAAGGAACTTTGTGCAAACTACATTTAATCAATAAGCGTTCAAAAGTCGTCGTCGAGATAAAGTGTAAACTCAATAGAAAATGACAGTTATTGATATCTGAAATGTTATATTTGTAAATAGTCATTGACTTACTCTGATAAAAGCGTTGATTGTGCATACAAATTTCTATAATTCTTGAGTCAATTAATGATAATTAAAACTTTCTTTTATTTTGTAGTTGCAAATTAATGAAAGACAAACATCAGAGAATTTTGGCAGATTTACCTCTCTCTAAGACATTTCTGAACCATACGACCCTTAATAATTTTCACTGTTTTTGTCAATATATATAATTGTAATCGCTCTGCATTACGTATATTATATTAAGAAATGTGTTTACAACAATCAAAAACACCAAATTTAGGATGATGTCCAGAACCCTGAAGATGTTGAAACTTTTATTTTGCCATGTTAGCTGCAGGGCTAGCCATTCATTCTATGATTGAGAGAGAAATTCATAAATGAATAATAGCTTAACTTAATAAAGTATGTGGAGCCTACGCTTCGTTCCTCGACATCCGTGTTGAAGGTAAGATGAACTCATGAACTCTAGCAGTCAGGTTAACTATGCAGCCCAGAGCATTGAGTTCACATATGCCGAGGCTGCTTAATAATATTATAATGTAAGTGTTGTAAGGATTCAATGTTTTTATAGGATTTCCCAGCAGTAGGCGAAAAAGGAAGTATCCATTTCTGCAGAATTTGGTGAAACTTAGGAGCAGACAAAAACCAGTCGGATACTTGAAAATCTCACAGCTATCGCTAGTGATACGAACAAGCTTATAATACATTCCATGCGCTTCCAGGACGGTTTGCTCTTTTCTTGCGACTGGCATGGGATCAAGATATAATTGCTTTAGGTAAGACTGAAGTTTTATGAGTGCACTGCAGGTCTGCCAGAGTACATTAAATGTCAGGAAATAGCATCCATACCTCACAAGTCTTGATCCGAGTATGATGAGGTAACCACCAAAGTCTTTACGACTAAGGAACATCTGTAGTACGACTGCTATAACTCGCGCCATAAGTAGCAATACTCTAAGCTAGAATATCTTTGCATATATAACAGACCTGAAGCTGTGGCGAAATTACTGTGTGTAGTAATCAGCTTTTCAATCCTTAGTAAATCCCTAACGATCTGCGATATCTTCTGCTGCCAGCGCTGTGCTCAAGAAACACTGATTACATTCGTTATCCATATTATCGTGGAGACGGCATTCATCATGAAAATCAGTAGTTTGGAATGCGTGGTAAATTTCGGGATTACATGTGAGTTTATAAATGAGACCAAAGAAAAAAAAAAAAAAAAAAAAAAACACACACACACAATATACAAAATAATCTACGAAAAATACGCAGGAAACGCGACTTTACGACTTTGCCCGCGCCAATGTCAATGTAATATTCGGCCACTGCACAAAGCGCCAAGAAATATGTTATCCATGCGCATACGAATTGCTTTCTCCAGGACATTTTCCCGACTACTTAAATGCTTTACTTGAATGCAGCCGACTGCATTTAATGAATTGGAAATGGGTGCTCTAATCATATGACTAGCGAGTAGAAAGTGGGAAATAAATTGGAATTGACAGCTCGTTTAATATAACTGCTATCTGATATCTTGTACTTATATCTACGATTTACTGTCACCTATCAAAGGAAATGCACGTAGTTCAAATATAGTTTTATACCGCGAGGCAATCCAATAAAGAGTCTAAATAATATAATATTAAAAAATAAAAAATTAGATACTTAATATATCTGATATTAAATAAGAAATCTGCGAGATTAGCCACAGAAATACTTATATTCATATAATTTATATATAATATCATTTGTATTTATTTTTGAACGCTCTCGTAATAAAAACCTTCATCTTTTAACATACACATCTAATAGACAATATTAAATTGAATCATTTTATTTTCAGATAAGCTTAATAGTTCTCAAACTCTGCTTACATCTGAAAATATCTGTAGTCGCTCTGCACAATGTATATTATGTGAAGTACGATGCTAGTGACGATTAGAAATATCAATTTATGATCGATGTTCAAGACTCCGAATATGTTGATCGTCTTATTTTGCCAAGTTAGCTGCAGGGCTAGCCAGTCATTCTAGGATAAAAAGGACTATTGAAATCTTGACAAACCATTGAAATGATTTACTTACGCTTCGTTCCAACTGCTTCGAGGCAAAGTTAGAGGAGCGCAGGATGTGAAATGTTTCATCATGTAGTTTACAAACCATATTCGCTATGATGGCGAAAATTAAGAGGTCCATCACATTGAAAGCATTTACCAGTATCAAAAACGCTTCTGTGGTAAAACTATTGGGTTTTTGGATTATTCCAAGCAGCTTACGAAAGAAATAATATCCAGTCAAACAAGCGTTGCAACCGAGCTGGATCAAGAATAAGGCCAGCGAATACTTAAAAATGTCACAAAATGTGTTTATCATTTGAATTAGTTTATAGTACATCCGATGCATCTCCAGGACTTTTTGCACTCTCCTTGACATTGACATTGGCTCAATTAACAGTCGCTCCAGGTACATTTGTAGCCCTAAGAAAAAATAACAGATGTGCCACACGATGGTGAACTGCATGAAAAAGAAGCCACACGATACGACTCGTGCTCCAGTAATGCTAATATGAAGGATGACATTTTTGATGTCCGCAACTATCCGTGACATAAATAGAACTGTTCGAACTATCGCAAGTAATAGTCTGACCCAGTATAGCTTTAGCAGGAAGGATCTATTTGATGGAGTGACGCAAAGGTGTGATTCGGTTATCAGATTGTCTATCCTTAGAAGATCCTTAAACATCTCAAGAATGCTCTGCTGCTTGAATTGAGAGCCGATCATGCAGGCCGTAAACAATATGAATGAGATTAAGGGCTGAGAATAGACTAAGACGTTCATAAGCTTGGAGTACGTAGGAATTATCGGGTACATTTTCCAATATATTATATTGACCCGGCAGAGCGCACAGAATACAGTTGCACAAATTATCCGACCATAGATGCGCATTACGCGCGACTTTCTGAATTGGCCCGTGCGAATATCAAAGTAGAAGGCAGCGACGCCGTAAGACATCAGAAAATATGTTATCCACGCGTACATAACGTGGTTTCCCGAAGACATTTTTCCGCCGACTGAACAGTGTAGAGCTGCATTCGCTGAGCTGAACGAAAATTAATTTGAGAAATGCATTTAAGATGCGTGAGTTGATAAAAGGAAATGTGACAGCTCAGTGGGGCTAACACTTACTGTTATTTGCATAATGTATATGGTTTAAGTGTCCAGTTATGAAAGAGTTTGGTATTGCCAAGTAATATCTTATAGTTGAAGTGTAAAAGACTTGACTGCCAAAGTATACCCAACAGACGATATAGTCTTGGTCCATTCAGCTATGGCCGACTCATCGAGTCTTAACGGGGTCTATGGTCATAGAGGGGTTGTCTCTTTTCAATAATGCCGAAACACACACGAAAGCATCACAGCTGCCGAACACATCGATCGGATTGGATTTGATGTTTGGATCATGCGTCGCGCGTTCAACATTGTTTAGTGCTTTGGCAGCAATCGCGTCAATCAGTCGGACGAGCGGATCGTAAACTCTAATTAAACTACAAAAAAAAAAAAAAAAGTTTGCCAAAGCAATTGCAAACGAAAATGTGTGGGGCTCAGTTCGCTTGATAGTTGGGAGAAAATTAGAGAACCTTGGATTCGAGCTAACCATTTTCAATTAGAGGCGAAAATAATGCAATTTATGAACGCGCACAGAATTTGCGACATTTTTTGCTAAACGGATTTCATGCTTCAGTTACACTTACAACAGCAACAACAACAACACCATCATCCACTAATAACACTGAATTAAAAAAACAGTTAGCGCGTTTATCAATGTGCAAGGTCAGAGCCAACATGACCCTCGGAGCACACCTCATGTGCAGCTTGATTGGGCTAGGGCTGCTGTTGTTGCCCGGCCACGCCCACTACATACAAATCGATCACGAGGAGTTTCGGGCCAGTGGCTATCCCCATCCACCGCCGCCACCAGCTGCACTGACGCCGCTGGAGCTGGAGCGTCTGCCGCATGTGCTGGCCAAGCAGCTGACGCCGGCTGAGGTGATGGTCGATCTGACCAACGATCTGACCCATCGGCTGCTCCACTATCACTCCATACTCAATCGGAATAACTTTGCGTTCTCGCCGACGGCACTGGTCAGCGTGCTGGTGGCCCTCTACGAGGGCTCCACGGCCAGGAGCGCCACAGAGCTGCGCAATGTGCTTCAGCTGCCCAGCAATCGTGACGTCATACGCGTCGGCTACCGTGACATACACCGACGGCTGCGGGTAAGCCCTACCCCACGCACAGTTTGTTTTTGGCTACAATAAAAATATTCACATGCTTCGCTTCACATTCCACCATCCACCCCCCTTCGCTCCCACTTGAAATAAATGTCTAATATTCGACTGATAAATGAAAATAAAACCAATTCGCGTCATGCTGCGGCGCTTTGTGTTAAACATATATATTGATACCAAATAGATCATTCGGAATTGTGCCGCCGGCCAATAGCTCCAAATTCTGCTTATCGCTGCCCAATTGTGGCTTAAAACGCGTTCGACAGTTCGTTGACCCCAATCTGCGATGAGTGGCCGAATTTTTTCGGCATGAATAGAATTTATAATTGATAGACCTAGCACAGTTGATCTGATCTGATTAGAGTACAATGCGTATTTGTGATAAGCGCTTCATTATTTGCAGACCTACTTCTTCGGCTCCGACAATCCCCTGAAGGGGCTCAGCCTGAGCCGCGCCAATGTGACCGTGCTGAAGGACTTTGAGACTGTGCTCATGTTCTATGGCTACGATCTGAGTGTCGACATGACCTCGTCGACGCCAGCGAATATGACAGTGGGCGTGGCCAATGCCACCGTGGCGGGCAATGCGACGGCTGAGGAGATGCAGGCTCCGACAAGCACGCCCCAGGATGTGGACACAACAGCAGCAACCGAGCTGCCCACTAGCACCACCGCAGAGCCAGTCACCAGCACAGCCATGCCCACGACCACCACAACAACAGAGGAGACAACCACAACCACAACTGAAGCGGAGACAACAGCCACAGAGGCGGCTACAGAGGCTACCACCTCCGCGGAGGCCTCTGAGGCCGCTGAGCCAGCCGCCGGCGAGGATGAGGCAGCCGAGCTGGTGTCCGCCTTTGTCGCCGAAGAGGATGCCGAACCCTTTCTGCGCATACAAAAGGCGCGCGTCTCGCGTCTGCCCGTTAGCAAGCTGCAGGCACCGCTCAAGCACTCCAATCCCATAACGCCTAAGCCCGGCTATTTGCCCAGCGCTCGCATTAGCGTCCTGCCCATGATGGCCCGTCAGATGGCAGATGTGCGACCCACACACCGACAGACTGTGCCTCACTTTGGCGCACGTTCAGCTGCGCCCACGTCCATGTCCTCGCCTAACACAACGCGCAGATCGAATGGGGCGACTCGGCACAAGCGCCATGTGTTGGGCTACAAAGAGCTGGACGCGAATCTCTTTGTGACGCTGTTCAGCCCGCATGCACCACATGGCCCACCACATCCGCTGCCCATACCGCCGACAGCAGCCTTTGCGCACATCTCAAACGACTTTGATCCGCACTTCATCAGCGATGGAGCTGAGGGCAAAACCAACTACAATACGGATGTGATCAGTCATGTGTTCTATCTGGGCAGCCAGCAGGTGGTGCACACCACATTTAAGGTGTACAATGCGGTGCTCTACTACAAGTACTTCGAGCATCTGAAGATGAGCGTGCTGGAGCTGGAGCTGGACACACCCGAGTACAATTTGATGATCTTGCTGCCCGACTACCACATGGACATTGTGGCCGCAGCTGCCTCGTTGAAGCTGGGGCCCACGCTGCGGCTGATGCGCAAGCAGCTGAAGCCACGCTGGGTGCAGGCCATCATACCCGACTTCAAGCTGCACGGCACCATGTTCCTGACCAACGATCTGCAGAATGTAAGCAAATAGAGAGATCCTTAAGGCGGTATATTTATTAATTTACTTCCATTTACAGATGGGCATGTAAGCAGGCAGGGCCAATAGCTGTATATCTATAAATGCTGGAAGCACTTTTACTTTTCTTTTGTAATCAATTTTTAGCTGTGATATCTTCGAGCCGAACCGCGCCGACTTTCGACCCATGACTGAGGAGAAGGGCGTCTATGTGCGACACATTGAGCAATCGATCGATGTCAACATCCGAACGCATCCGATCAATCAGCTCAAACGTAAGTAGCTGTTGCATTGCTCTGTTGCAACATTGCAGCCCACACCTCGACGCATTGAGGCGCAACGCACTGAGGTGTTAGCCAGCAGCCCCACCTGCAACTTGGATTGCAACAATACCAGCAGCAGCAACAGCAGCAGTGGCAGTGGCAAGATAAATGTGCAATAACTATTTCCCTTTTTGCTCAGGCAACACAGGCGCCCAAACGAAGCCCATACAGATCTCTGTGAATCATCCGTTTCTGTTTTTCATCATCGATCGCGACTTAGACGTGGCCGTCATGTCGGGCCGCATACTCAATCCACTCAATGTGCGCATACAATGAGCTCTGGGCACTGGAGCACAACGAAGGTCAACGGATTGAACAGCATTGAAAGCGAAGTTGGAAGCATTACTTGCTTCCTGGTGCCAGCCTAACATACATCTTCAGTTGTACAATTGTAATGTAAATAATGCAAATGTTTTCTTTTTATAAATGATGCTCACTTTTTTTAAACACAATAAATCTATATAAAACCTCATGTTTCTATTGACGGACGAACAGATGCCACAACATTAATTATACTGTTGGTCTTTGGTTGATTTTCTTTCTTTTTTTTTTTTTTAATTTTATATTCATATATCTATTATGTTTCATCTCAATAGTTCCAAATTTATAATTATTAAAATTATTAAATAAAAAGTTATTCAATTTTATTAGTCGTTTGTTTTGCTTTTCCGTTAAAAGTTAAATTTAATTTGGCTAACTGCCACTGACCCAACCATTCGATATATCGATATAAATAATGTTAGTTTTGTATCAGGCAGCTTTGCAGTGTCTGTGTGCAATACAGTCTGGCAGCACTATGTCCATGGCCTTGAAATTTTCGTACAAGGATAAGAAAAATATTCGTACAACGCACATCAAATCAAAATATTATTAGAACGCAAATTCTTTTTAATTTGTTTTATTAAGTATATTAAATTGCTATTAAATATAGCTTGAGTGAGAATTAACGTAGAATGAGTGACAGCGACGAGAATGAAGGGAAAAGTGGCAAACAGGACGGGCTGCCCACCAAGCCGTCGACGTTGTTGTGTACGCCGACGTCGAAGTCAGCAGCGACAGCAACAGATACAGATTCTGGCAGTCAAGGCGAAGAAGGTTTTGAGCGATTCAACTAATTGTTGAATTTGTTGTCAGATAATTCATTTTCAGATGGCACCGTGGACATGATTCGTCGATTCTTTTCACAGACTTTCAGTTTGACCTCGGACAACGAAACCCCAACTGTGGACAAGGTGAGTTATTGAAATTTGATATCTAAGTTACTTATCCACATCCTGGCTGTAGGTAATTCCGGAGCTTACCTTCGAGGGCCTATCGATACACTGGCGCGAAAAGGGCTTTAAGAAGATTATAACTATGGTGGGTGCTGGTATCTCCACTTGTGAGTTGACATTTCATTGAATGTTTATTTTGCAAGTGTTAATTTTTGTACAAATATGAAAAGTTCTTTAGCTGCGGGTATTCCTGACTTTCGTTCGCCTGGCTACGGTCTGTACAGCAACAAGAAGCAGCATAAGTTGCCTCACCCAACGGCCATATTTGACGTGGAGAATTTCCAGAGAAATCCGGCCCCATTCTTCGAACTAGCCAAGGAGCTGTATCCGGGGTCATTTGTGCCAACTCCGGCACATTACTTTATCCGCCTGTTGCACGAGAAGGGCGTGCTACAGCGCCACTATACTCAGAACATCGATATGCTGGAGCGTCTGGCTGGCCTGCCGGAGGAGAAGCTCATTGAGGCAATTGGCAGCTTTAATACGAATCATTGTCTCAATTGCAAGCAGCTCTACGATATGGCCTGGATGAAGAAGAAGATTTTCTCCGATCATCTGCCCATTTGTGAGCAGTGCAAGGGCCTGGTGAAGCCGGACATTGTTTTTATTGGCGAAAATCTGCCAGATAAGTTTTACTCCAGTCCCGACGAGGACTTCAAGGAGTGCGATTTGCTTATCATCATGGGCACATCTTTGGAGATGCAGCCGTTTGCCTCGCTAATCCACCGGGCTGGCCCGCGCTGCATTCGCCTGTTGATTAATCGGGATGCGGTTGGTCGTGCCAGTTTCGCACCTTGGATGGACGCCAATGGCGAGGCTCTGCTTTACGGCGAGACTAAGAATACGCGTGACGTGGCGTTCCTTGGGGATTGTGATGCCGGCGTCTGGGCCTTGGCCGAAGCGCTTGGTTGGGAAGACGAGTTACAGCAACTAATTAGCAATGGACAACGAGAACTGGAGGAGGAGAAGGACAACATAGTTGTCTATTATGGAGACGAAATACAGACTGCGGTAATTGATAGTGCCAAGAAATAGAGAGGGTATGAGGCTAAATTGAACTGGTTTTTCCGATTTCATTATATTAGATGTTGCAAATATATATTTAGTGTTAAATAGAAAGTTTATCTTGCGTTAAATATGTGTGCATATGTATGTCTATTAGTGTGCGTTATATGCAAATTTTTGTGGTTATCAAATTAAAGCATCCAAGTATATTTATGTGTGTTTACCGAAACGAACCAAGCATGTGTTTCACTCGTTTTTAATTATTCAAGCGCCATTAGCGTCGCTGTACAACATCGACCGCAAAAGCTCTCTTTTCAGTTTGGGTCAAACTTCCGGCCCAGCCTGGCCGACCAAGTCGGCAACAAAGGTTAATTTCTCATCTCAGCCAGGCAATTGTAATCGCACACACACACACACGCACACACACACACACTAATACATAAACAAGCACACACAAAGTCGATTGGCAACAGTCACACTTACTATTGTGGGTGGCCGCCCCAATTAGTTGGCCATCTATTTGGGCCGCTGCATCAAGTTAATGACACACAATCTGTCCCAGGGCCGCCCACACCGAGAAGTGTAGTCGGCTTCCGGCTCCGGTTGGGGCATGCAATTGAGGCATCTGCAATGAATTGGCCAATAGAATATAGGTAGCTGGCGCTGGCAGGAGCCTTCGATGCGGGCCACTCGTGTGCACTAATTAAAACCAAGCTGGGGCGCCTGAACGAAGCTGGGGAGCCAGCAGACGGGGAAGCGATGGCAACATGTCAACTTTCTGCTTTCTCGCTGTTTTGTGGCCAAATGTGCAAATGCATTAAGTAATCAGATGCAGCAGCAGCTGCTGCCGCCACAACGGAAATCACATCGAATATGTTGATAGTCGCAATTTGTTGCAGTTGCAGTTGCAGCTGCTGTTGCAGTGACTTGGTTGCCTGCCGGGTAATTAAACTAATGGATTTTCTTAACGGCGCTCCAAGTTCTGTCAGTCAAGAGATAAAATAATCAACTGTCATCTTATAGCAAACCAATAGATTTCTTATATATGTGCGCCATTTGGCCTCAATGACTTCACTTGTTGTTGTTGAGCAACATTGCAGTTTCTATGAGTTATTATATGGGTGTGTGGGTGTGTGCATTGAAGTGTGTGCGCCAGTTGATTCGGTTGAAAACACTATTAAATGCATTCCACACACACATACACACACACACTGCGCTTTAACTGTAGAGGTTTAACGAAAGGGTAAAGCAAGGAAAATGTTTCGCCTTCTTAAGGGACCTACGAAGATTACTATTACTATTAAATTACTTAGTATTTCTATTGCTTATGAATTTTTAATTGTCATAGAAACAAAGAGCTCATATATAAAATATAGTGTACAATATGTTTAGGGAAATCGTAGTACAATAAATTATTTAAATTGGAATTGGAGCAATAATTAATACAAAAAACTCTTCAAAAAAATATAAAATTAAACTAGGGGTGCGATTAATTTAATTATTATGTATATTAAAAGAATTTTTTTTTTAAATTTTTTTTTTATATTTTTTTTTACGTTATCTGTCGCAATAATACAGACTTTCAAATATTTACAACACAATGCAATAATACTATACTGATGGCAGCTCTACGTCAACTTCTGCAGGATATTAAAAATATCTTACAAAAATAAAAAATTATAATATAAGTGGATAGAATGTTATAATAACTAAAACATATATAGAATATGCATACATGTATATGTAAATAAATAAATATAATATATAAATTTATATCCATTATATTAAACAGTAATAAGCTATTTACAATGCACTGTGCGTTATACTTCAACTGGTATGCTTGAGTATGTTTCGTGCGTCATATTTGCAATCAAAACGCGAGAAGTTTCTTACGCCCCTCGCCCAGCGCCGCCTTTGGCTGAAAGCCAGTTCATCAATAGGACCTCAAAGAGGGGCGTTTTTGGGCTTTGGGGCCCAAAACCGGGTGTCGGGTGCCGGGTGATGGGTGGCGGGGGCTGTTGGTACCCGTGCGTTACTCGATGTCATCAGCGACAGCTGTGCGCGTATTTTGATATTGAATTCTTGACATGATTGCGGGCCACAGCTTGTTGTGGCCGCCATTTAAATGAACATATCGCAGTTACACACAGACACGCGCTGAAGCATTTTAAAATGCTCAGTTACCCACATAGCTCATGCATGCGATGCGCTAATAAACTGTCGAATTGCTGTGGTCGGGTGGTGCCGTGGGTGGTCCAAATAGTATGATTAAATAGATATATGTATGTATTTATATATCTATTCGATGCGGGTGGGTCTAACGTATTTATTTGCATTATTGTAAAATGGGCGGTAAAATGTTGTCATTGCAGCGTAAACGAAATCTTTATGAATATTTTATTATTGCTTTAATAAAAAGAGAGAGCAAGAAAAAGGAGAAGAAGAAGGAGCTCCAACACACACTCACACACACGCACACAGATCCAAGCAGACAGGCAAATGGCATGAGAGCTGAGCTCTGAAAAGCAATTTGTGTCAATAAATACATATATGTATGTGTGTGTGTGTGTGTGTGTGTGTGTGGGTGCGTGTGTGTGACCGTTTAGCATTGCATGTGTGTTGTTGCCTGATATTTGGTGTAATATCAACACAAGCAGCAGCTACAACATAATCGTCATAATCATTTTATGCGCATATTTTGTAGCATACTTTTGTGGTCATAAATTTTTATTTACGTCGCTCCAAGTGTGATTCTCAGGGCTGCAGAAATGTGGCAAGCGGAGGGATTCGCAGCTGCTTTATATTATATAGAGGAATTAAAGAGCGATATGCTTGGGTTATTTTCATGCCTCGTGTTTTACAAGCACCTTAAAATGTCCTGCAATACATACACATATATGTATATGTTGTATATGTGTGTGTGTATGGGTGTGGTGTGTGTTCAGCTAGCAATTGAATCAAGCGATATATTTTGATATTGATAATCATTGGTATATCTCTGCCCATGTGTGTGTGTGTGTGTCAGTGGCCTTATTTGTGGGCGTAGTTATGGCTGCAGCCACACTGGCAAATTGGCGGTTTTGTTGGCTACAACGAACCCGTGCGGCCACTGCGGTGGCCTAAAATAAATTCTGCTTGCGGCTACTTGATGAACTATTGTTATTTG